GGTTTATGGTTTAGGGGTTTACGGTTTAGGGGTTTAGGGTTTAGGGTACTATGAGGTACCCGAAGGACAGTGCCCCTAAACCCTATGAGCTCTATTGCTGAACTTATTCACTACAGTACCAATTAACTAATTCTATCTACTATGACCATTATTAACGTGCTTCTAAAGCAAGCCTCATAAGGTCGAGCTTGTGAGAGTAGAGCGCTTGCCTCGGAAGGTGGGAGGAGCATCGCTTGAAGCTCACCTTTGAAAGGGATTCCAAGGCGCAGCTTCGGCAGAAGTGTTGCGCAGATGCTACAGTTGCCTGAATACTTAGACTACTTGGAATAAGGCATATCTTACTAGACTTGTAGCAAGGAGCTTGAGGGAATGGTATTCCTAATCATTCAGACTCCTGTCTTATTTTGTTGCCACTTGCTTTTTGGCTTTGCCACGGTGGAGAGAAGACACGTTGACACATGCTGCAGAGTTAAGAAGTCTTGCTTCGACCTGTTCGGAGTGGACGCCCTTCTAGCCCATGGGCGGAACAAGTGCAACAAGCACCAAAGAAGCCATGAATCTCGACCCTCCATCTGCCCTCTATTAACTTTTGGGTTTGGGGTCTAGGGGATTAGACCCTGAATACCCATCATTTTGGGACCATATACCCCTGTTTGAGGGTACAAGGAGGGTCCAGAACTCGCTGGAAAGCCCAAGACCCTGGGTGCTTCTGAGCCGAAGAAGGTTGCAGCAGCAGAAGGCAGGAGACGCTTTGAACTGGGGCACAGGGCGCTGGCGCATTTCATACATGCCATATGGGTGGTTGTCAAAATTATGGTCCCTTTTGGGGTACCCTAAATAATAGGTGCCGTATTATAATAAGGACCCAACAAGGGACCATAATTTTGACAACCACCCATATACATAATATGCACCATCATGCACATACGCTGCCCCAGCCCTACACGGGTCCCTGAAGTTTAGAATCTAAGCCTCCCTTCCCAAGGCACTGTTGAAAGCTCTGAATGTCAGGTCAAGCAGCTGCTTGACCAAGCGGAGCGTTCTCAAAGCAAGGTCGGAGCCTTGCTGCAGAAACTGCTTATTGCGCTTTCATCCCCGTTGGGTCACTGGTGGTCATATATTCACTTAAATTGAATCCGTGGTTGTCATTGTTCTTGTTTGTTGTTGCTGTTTGTGTTGCCACTACTACTTACTACTCCTCCTCTTCCTCCAGCTGCTGCTGCTGCTGCTGCCGCTGCTGCTCCTGCTACTACTGCTGCTACTGCT